ATAAAAGCAGACTAACAGACTCTAAAAGAAACTGAAATACATACTCGAAAAGAAAAATAAGGAATACATAAGTGCCTCCAAAACTACTCCAGGGGCCCGCGGGACGTCAGTCGGTCTCGACGCGGGGCTACGTGCAAGATCTCCTTGGAGGCAATCCAGGTCGTCCATTATCTGGCGAACAAAAGTCATCACTGCGGCAAAGAAAGTGGATCTAGTCATATCCTCATACTCATGGCATTTTATGACGATATAGTCAGCAATTCCTCTAATCCTTTCTCTAATGATGCCTTTCTCTTGGAGCAAATGGCTAATTTGTTGAGATCTAGCTTCCAGAACTTGGGTGTCATTATGGCTTTGCTCCTGCAACTGTTTAATGTCCTCTTCCAGTCGAGACATCAATGCATAACAATGTTCCCTCTCTGCCTTAAAGTTCTTTGTCTGTTTAGCCATTTCATTCTCGAGGGTAGTTAGCTTTTTCTTTAGATTTGCGACTTCTCTATCATATTTTCCTTTTAATTGTTGAACAAACTCTGCCCGTCCTTCTGCGTTCTTCGCCAACTATGCATGGGCTCTTGCCAGACTACCTTCGGATTTTTCCAAATAGGTCCTATACTCACATACTTTTCGCATAAGACCGTTTATAAGTCTTTTATCTATTTGGCTCCTATTCTCAAAAACTATCTTCATTTTTTGGATCTGGGCTCGGAGGGCTTCATTTTCTTGGGCCAACTTCTTCTTTTCACCTTCATTCGTAGCAGCTTGCAATCCATTATCAAATTTAAGGTCTCTAATTTGCCCCTCTACCTTTCTTATGGTGGCTCTATATTCATTTTTTTTGGTCAACCAGGCCCATTGTTATTGCAACGCTTCAACAAATTCTTGGATGTGAGGCCTTTTGGTTGGCTTTCAGGTTCGACCCTTGCAGTGAACTTCTTTCTATACCAAGTAAGATAACCAGGCAAGACCTCGCCTCAGGACAAGTCACGTACTCGGGTGTTTGTTGTCATATATTGGCACTCGTTCCAAATATGATGAACCACTTCTTCATGAAATTGGTCATCAAAGCGGATTTCAACTACATGAACACTAAGATCTTCATCTTGGGGAACTACTTGGCATCTTCCTAATTGCCTCAAAACCTGGTATGGGTCATAAGGCTGGATGCCTCGAAGGCCCATTAGGAGGAAGTAAGGACTGGTAGCAGGCATGTACACAATTTCTTCAACAAGAAGCCAACCCAGTGTCCACTCTATCTGCCTACAGTTATGGAAAAAAGGCGGGATATCTAATCTCCAACCCCTTCTGGCATTTTGAACCCTGAGACCCTTGTGTCGAACTCCTCAATGCAGTTTTCCCTGTAGATCCATAATTCATATATCGAGGACGATGACACATGTGCTCAATCATCCACCTTTGTAGTAACAAATGGCATCCTTCGAAAAAATTTGCTCCGGATTTGCAAGCCGTGAGAGCTCGGAATATCTCAGATACTATCATAGGGGCAAGGGTGCTCTTGGTATTGGTAATCAAAACATTGACGACTCCAGCTACTTGTAGATCAATATTCGTGTCCTTCTTGGGAAATACTAGAAGACCTAAGAATGCCACCATGAAAGCGAAACGTCTATGCTCTTCTCACTTTGACCGGTTCCCTTTGCTACAGATTCCACTTTTCGGGTTGTCAAATCCTCTTACATGCCCGTAGCGCTGGTATATGAAGTGTAAAGTGGAAAACTCATCTACAAAATCTGCATAATGGACCTGGTTGCTTATTTTTAGCAAATCCGGAAACTTGTGAGGGGTGACGACCCTTGGAGCGACCAGGTATTTATGTCTTAGACCCTCGGTACTCCCAGCATAACCCGCTATCTCTTCCAAAGTAGGCGTGAGTTCGAAGTCCGAGAAATGTAAAACGTTGTGACCTGGGTCCCAAAATGTCACCAGTGCTTTTATTATGTCTCCTCTAGGCCTGATCTTTAGTAATCCGGTGAGCGCCCCCAAGTAATGGTTGACCATATCTCGTCCTTACTTACCAAAATCTTCCCACCACATGTGTAGTTCCAACAGAATATTGGTCATAACCTTCATTGATAAATCTTGGCGCGTGCTCATTCTGCACATTCAGATTAAAGTGATAGGTTTAAAACAAAGTGAATTTTATTAAAGCTGATAAGAAGGGGTCATTTTACAAAATTCAAAATTCAAATAAACACGGTCACTTTTGCAAATACGTCCCTTCAGCATTTCAAAAGGGAAGATTTTAGGCCTGTGTTTGCTATGTGGCCAAAAATTGGCAAAGAAACCGTTGGTGGCTATTCTTGCAAAAAGGGCCTTCCGGCGCCCCGTCGAGACGTTCGGCTATTTAGATAAAAACGGCATCACCCACTTTATTTACGACAATAATGATGACATTTTCAAATTTTTGTGTTATTTTTGCGAAGCGGGCTTGGACCCGATGAGGGTTGCCTGCGTATCCCACATCCGGTGAGAATCAAACCCGCGTAGTTCGGTCAGTTTTGACGCAACAGAAAACATGAAGTATTTTGAAACAATTTTCCCTTCTTTTCTCTTTTTTTTTTTTCAGAATTTCGGTAGAGTTTAAGTATATTTTGGACACTAGATTTTTCAAAGGCGGGTAATTATCTCTTTCATACCTCAATTTAATTTTTCCAATTTTTTCTCCCTATTCTAGAAACCGGTCAAAATATTGTTGACATCCAATTTTGTCCCTCCTTTCTTTCAAATTACTTCTTTAAGCTTCTAATATCACTAATAATATAAGGTAGTTGTTCTACTATATTTTTTTAATACAAATTATACCTATTTGTTATTATTATTATTAAAAATATTATAGTTATATCTATTATTGTTTTTGTTATTACTATTACTATTATTTCTAAAAAACACATTTTTTCTCTTTACATAATTAATTAATAATATTATTTTATTAAACATCTCATAAATATTTACACTTGTGATGATATTTTATTTAACAATTAGTGTAAGTTATTTTTTTAATTTAAATTCTAGCTGCCATAACTATTTTAAGAAACATTAAATAATTTAACCAATAATATTATGTAGTATTATATAATGTGGCTCATAAAAATTATTTTAAATAGAAGCTCAAAGAATGTACAAGGAAGAAGGAAAATGTTCAGCAGTCCAAGCCAAAGTCGGCCCAAATTCGCCCAACCAGCAGCCCAAAATCCTCCACTTTAGCCCAACCATAGAGCACTCTAGAACCCCATCAAAACTACGTCGTTTTGATAAATAAGCCAGGCATAATCTCAGCCGTTTAAACTCTTAATCTAACGGTTGAAATCCATGACTTCACTCTCAAAGACCTAAAATAATTATGGTTTTAATTTTGCCATTCCCTTCTCCAAAAACACACTTCTTCTCCTCTCTTTTCTCTTCTTCACAAAATTTCATCCCTGCTCGGTCATGGCAGAATTTGTCATTACCATTTTGAACAAGAAGCTCTGCACCTCAACTAATTTTCTGCAACATCAATGTTCAAATTTCAAACATTCAATAGCTTTTCACTCAATTTCGAAATCCCGCTCAAACTAAGAACCCTTGAAATCAGCCTATAAATACCCGCATTTGAAGAGATTTTCGATAAAGCTTCAGCACCCTTCTTTAACCTGAGGCTCTGAGCCGCACCTCTATCCCCTCTAAGTTAAAGCTTCAGCCGCTGCCTCTAACCCTCAAACCCGCTACTCTTTGCTTGCTTCCACTATTTAAGAAAATTTTCATCAAATCTTATCTGTTCCACCTTTGCTACTTTTTGATTTCTGTGGGTTTTAAATCAAAACAGAGCTGCTGTTTTTCATTTATTCTTTCGTCCACGTTCGAGGTGACGAGTTCATGGTCGGATTTCGATTGTAGGTAAAAGACCCCGGTTCACTGCTCCGAAGCAGGTCAGCTCATTTCTTTTCTTTATTTTTGTATTTAATTATGTTTATAATGTAAATCTGAATTTGTTTTATTTCCTCCTTTTCAAAGAGTAATTTCAGCGTTAAAACCATGCTTTAGTTGCTCATCGCGTCTCTCTAATCTAATTGATACTAAAGGAAAACCTGACTAGCAAAATATTCTCATGGGCTATTGTCTCATATTTTCAAAATTATTTCTTTAAAGTTTCTTTCTTCTTTTGTTAAAGAAAAGCAGGACTAGTTGCTATCTTATAGTAGTATATATAGTAGAGATCGTATTTCTTTTGGAAATACATATTATGGCCGTCTAAGATATCGATTGAGTGTTAATATGAATATGCCTCTTGCTGCTTTATATAAACACTTGTAATAAGCATCGGTATTAGGTTCAAATCTAGAAATCATATTTAGGTTTCCTTTGAAGGATAATAGATTCTGTAACTAGAAGATTACTGGCTTAAATAATATAAAATGTTTGTAGTATGTTAAACCATACAATGTATGCCTATAGGTTTAAAGTAACTACTACTAGTATTTATCCTTGATTTATTAAACTATAAAAATAGTCTAAAAGGTTCACGCTAATGGTTGAATGCATATTGTTTGATTCTATTCTAAGTAGATTATTAACTTAAGTCTTTTCCTCTCAGTCCTAGAAATCATGACTTACATGACCATAAATCTTCTTTATATTTTGGAATCTGATAGCTTAAAGTGCACTCATCATTCAATGTTAGTGAAGAGGCCTGCCGCTAGTATTTTTCGACTAAAATAAGGTATCCTAATGTTTGTGTGAAGGTTCTGTTGAAGGTTTCTCCCATGAAGGGTGTTATGAGATTTGGGAAGAAAGGGAAATTGAGTTCGCGGTTCATTGGATCTTTTGAGGTGTTTCGGAGGATTGGGGAGGTGGATTATGAGCTTGCTTTGCTGCCCAACATGTCGAGTGTGCATCCAGTATTTCATGTTTCTATGCTCCGGAAGTATATTGGGGATCCGTCTCATGTTCTGAATTTTAGCACGGTTCAGTTGGATGATGATTTGACTTATGATGTGGAGCCAGTAGCTATTTTGGGTCGTCAGGTTTGGAAGTTGAGTTCAAAGGATATAGCTTCAGTGAAAGTGCAGTGGAGAGGTCGAACCGTGGATGAGGCTACCTGGGGGCCGAGCAGGAGATGCGGAGCAGATATCCTCACCTGTTTGAGGCTTCAGGTATGTTTATTGACTCGTTAGAGGACGAACGTTTGTTTAAGTTGGGGAGGATGTGATGACCCGACCAGTCGTCTCATGAGTTACCGCTCCGTTTCCCCCATTTCTGCTTCTTTATGCTTTGTTTAACCGTGTTATGTGGTATTGGGTTGGTCGGATCGAATCCGAAATAATTTTGGTAAGGTTTGAGACACTTAGTCTCTTTTTAAGGAAGTTTAAGTTGGGAAAGTCAACCGGATATTGACTTACGTGTTAGAGAGCTCAGATATGTGTTCCGGTGGTTAAGTTAGATTCGGGAGGTGATTTGGGACTTATGAGTGTGATCGGAATGGGTTTTGGAGGTTCGAAGTTGATTTAGGCTTGAATTGGCGAAGTTGATATTTTGGCGATTTTCAGTTGATAGGCGAGATTTTGATATAGGGGTCGGAATGGAATTTCGAGGATTGTAGTAGTTTCGTTGGGTCATTTGGGATATGTGTGCAAATTTTCAGGTCATTCGGACGTGGTTTGGTTGGGTTTTTGATCAAAAGCGGAATTTGGAAGATTTTAGAAAGTTTGGCTTGAATCCGATGTGTTTTGGGTGATTTGATGTTGTTTGAGGTGATTTGATGATTGGAACAAGTTTGAATAAGGTATTGAGATATGTTTGTGCTTTTGGTTGAGCTCCTGGGGGCCTTGGGGTGATTTGGGATGGTTAATGGAAAGTTTGAATTGTTGTTGCAGCTGCTGAATTGCTGCTTCTAGTATTTTCGCACCTGCGGATTGGGGGCCGCAGGTGCGACCCTGCACGTGCGGGAGAGCTATCGCAAAAGAGAAAAAGGTCCAGGCGGGAATAGACCGCAGAAGCGGTTAGGTGGACCGCATCTGCTACATCACAGATGCGGAAATGTGATCGCAGATGCGTTTTTGGCTGGATAAATGATTTTTGCATAAGCGGAGAAATAACCGTAAATGCGGTACCACAGAAGCGGGTATGGGACCGCAGATGCGAAAAGGCCTGGGCAGAAGGCATAAATTGTGGCCTTCGCGAATTTTAGCTAATTTCACCATTTTTTACTTCGGCTTGGGAGCTTTTTGGATGATTTGAGAGAGGGATTTCAAGGGAACTTCATTGAGGTAAGGAATTTGGACCTAAAACTCGTTTCTATGCTATTATTTCATGGATTGGAGCTAGAAATCATGGAAATTAAGGATTTAAAATTGGGGAAACTAGGGCTTAGAATTGGAGACTTTTGATTGAGGATTTGATGGACTATTTGGGGTCGGATTTCGGAACTTTTGATATGTATGAACTCGTGGGGAGATAAGGAATTTATTGGTGTAAAAATTTCTGAATTCCGAGACGTGGGTCGGGTTTTTGTAATTTCGGGATTTGTGCCATTTATTGATTGTTTTCGCTTGGGCTTCGTTCCTTTAGCCTATTTTGACATCCTCGTTCTGATTTTGGATTAGATTCGACGCGAGTGGAGGCCAATTCGAGGGGCAAAGGCATCACGAGCTAGAGATTTAGCCAGTTCGAGGTGAGTAATGATTGTAAATGATGTTTTGAGGGTTTGAAACCCCGGATTGCACATCGTAGTGCTATATTGAGGTGAGACACACGCTCGATGACGAGTGTGGGGTCGTGCATTATTGGGGATTGTGACTTGGTTCGTCCCGATTGATGATTTTACCTCGTATTTGACTGAAATCTATTTGCTATCATCATTATTTGGGTTGAATGCCATATTGGGCTTCGTGCCAACTACTTGAACCATTCGGGGATATTTATTAAAATTTCCTCACTGTTTTGACTTTATACTTGAACTCAGTCATGTTATTTTACACTGTTTTTCATACTCAGCCATGTTTATTCAGTTTTAATACTTAAATGATATTTTTAAATTTTGTTGGGCTGAGAAACACTGTTTTACTATTATTCGAGTGGGTTGTAAGGATTTTTGACCGAGTAAGGCCGAGGGCCTGAGATATGTAGTGGCTTGATTGATATGAGGCCGATGGCCTAGTGTTGATGCCACGAGATGGCTTGTTATTGCACTTGGGCCGTAAGGCCCCCCTCCAGTAGTCTTCACACCCCCAATGAGCGTGTGTACCCATTGTGATGTGAGATTGAGCCCGATGGGCTGGTATTGTTCTGAGATGTTGCCCGAGGGGCAGATTTGTTGATACTGTGCTCGAGGGGCGAACTTCTATTTGTTTACTTTACCTTAACAGCCTGTCAATTCCCTGTTTACTTGTTGAAAAAGAATTTTACTTAACTTTTCACTAGTTTACTGTTTTAAATGGTTTTACTGCTTAATTATACAATGCCTTGTGCCTTACGTGTTTTCTTACTTTCAGTCGTTATTTACATTTGTTACTCACTGAGTTGGAGTACTCACTTTACTTCCTGCACCCTGTGTGTAGATTCAGGCGTAGCTGGTCCTGCTCTCGAGTGCTGATCATTGCCAGCTTCAGGCGGATTCAAGGAGTCTTGAGGTAGCTGTTGGCGTTCGCAGCTCAGAGCTCCTCCTATGTCTTTTCCTTTATGTCCTTAGTTCAATACTAAACTCTGTAGTTACTTTTGGGTATTCAGTGTTAGATGCTCGTGACTAGTGACACCCCGGTTAGGGCTGTGTATGGGTGTTCTTCCGCACTTTTATGATATTATCTGCTGCTTAGTATTACTAAACCATGTTTTAGACTATTTTTTTTCATACTGTTTAACTGTTTAACATCGAATTGGGAATAGTTGGCTGGCCTTGTCTAACGAGAGGCGCTGTCACGATCGGGTTCGGGTTTAGGGTCGTGACACGTGTCCGGATTGTGATTTGGAGGTCTGTAGTTGAATTAGGCTTGAAATGGCGAAAGTTAAATTTTTGGAAAGTTGGATCAGGAGTGGAATTTTTTATATCGGGGTCGGATTCTAATTACGAAAGTTGGAGTAGGTCCATGGTGTCATTTTTTACTTGTGTTCAAAATGTGGGGTCAATCGGGCGTGATTTGATAGGTTTCGACGTCAGTTGTGGAAATTTGGAAATTCAATGTTCATTAGGCTTGAATTCATATGCGATTCATGTTTTTGGTGTTGTTTGAGGTGATTTGAGGGTTCGACTATGTTTGTATGATGTTTTGGGTTTTGATGGTTTGTTTGGTTGAGGTCCTGAGTATACTGTGTGTTCAAGTAAACTCTTGTTGCCCCTGTCAATAATATAACATGTATGTTACTATGCTCTTTCCAGAAAATTAAATTATTATTTGAACCTTCACCTATTAGGAACATGGCCTTAGGAAGAACTACCTCGACTTTGATTTAGAAATTGAAGTATGTTCATACAAAATAATTATTTGAACATTGTCGGCTTATATATTACGCAGTTTATATAGTAAACTTATAAAATATCTAAAAGTTGCGCCAATTAGTTATCCTTTTAATAAAGAACAAATAGATGTTTGCTTTGCGAAAGCTGGCTTTGTTTATTGACCTTAATTTTGCCTTTTAGTATAGATGATAACTGGCTTATATACTAAAAGCTGACCATCATCGGTAATATAGGCAAGAAATTAAATATGGACTTATTTACTACTAAGTTCCTCTTATGAATCAAAAGAAGTGATAATAGTTTTATTGTCTTTATATGCTATTGCTGTTAGATGACTCCTAATTCTTTATTTTCCCTTTCTTTGCATTTACACTTTGGAGAAAATTGAATCTTAATTTGAGACTCTCGTAGTGGAGTTACATAGAGACTCAACGTTACTCTACCCGAGTATGGAGTCATCACATACCATATTCCATAGATGCACCAAATAACAAGAAAACAAGCAAAACGCTTGGGGGAGCCTATGACGTTCTTATTCTCTTTTATTATTTATTGTACCTAATCTTTTACTGTTGTTGATTTATGTGTGTTTGGTGTTTATCTCAATTTTGGGATTTAATCATCTAGGTTCTTTATCTCGGGCTTAATATTATCTCACATGATATGGCAGTTAGAATAAAAAGTTTAAAATCAGTAATAACTTTCCACCTAGTTGCCACTAACGTGTCTATTTTTCTAAGTAAACTACTATACTCCTAACACTCTTTCAAGTAAGGTCAATTTGTTAAAGTGATACTTTTGAGAGCTTGTCATCAATTTTGTTTCCAATATTGTTAAGTTGGAGTTTTCTTCATAAACGGTGCAGCGCCACTTAAGTATAACTAACTAGTTTTTGAAAGACAAGAAATATTTCAATCAAGCGTTGCATTTCAGCTCAGTTTTTTAAATTAAGTTACTCTAAGGATATACTCTTTTTTGTATTTTCATATGGAAAAGCTTTTCCTAGAGTATAAGAGTTAAAGTCCAAACTAATATTCGTTTGAGTTTGAAATGCTTGAAAGCAATTTTCTTTCTCAATTATGAATTTATACAATTCTAAAGTGACTCATTTCTCTTCATGACATTACTGTACAGATATTTTCTAAATCAATTAACAAATATATTTTTAATGCACACACATGTTACTACTTATTTTTTAAAATCAATTAACCTAAGTTTGGCCGGTTAACCATTTGTAATGGATCTCATAAGGTGCCTTACCCTTCCTCCTGAGATAATTAGAATCCTTACCTAGAATTTCTAAGGTTAAGTAGACCATAAATAGAGTTAACTTTAAGCACTATTTAGCAAAAATTGGTGTCCTAAATCACCGTTAAAATAATTAGCTGGCGACTCTCTTTAATTAATTAAACCTTCAGAATTATCAATATGTTATACTCTAGTTTGACCCGTGTTAAAATGGGGTATAACACATGCAAATCGAAGTAAATAATTGTATAAGTAGCACGTAAAAATGCATCAGGATGGTCTTTTAATTTTTGGGTACACTTGTCCTAGACGGACTCAACCCCTGTGTTGAGTCCCAAAGTCAAATGCACATGATGCAAGCAAGCGTTCCTAATAGGGATCCGACATGAGCCTGTGTTATTCTAGGTTTAAAACCTGGGTGTATTGTTCTAGACCTGACTTACCCGAGCGGACAACTCGAGACTAGGAGGGGCAGCATACCGGTAACCAAAAGATTATCCGGCATTGTAACTTGTCCGAACCTCGTTCTAAATTAGGGTAAGACACTAACAGAAAAGAATTCACGCTAGCATGCACTTTTCAGAAGATTAGAAGAGAGGGGGTTCGCAGCAGTTTATATACAGTTCAAATAATATCAAAGCGGTAAAAAGTGGCATTTAATACATTAGGCCCAAACATGTAATAAACAATCAGATAATAAATAAAAGCCAATTATAAAAGTTATTCTAAGCTTGAATTCTTGAACCTGAACCGGAAGTTCTGGGTTTTGTTCCCCAGTAGAGTCGCCAGAGCTGTCACACCTCCTTTTTACACCCGAGAGGTATATAAGGGAGTTTTTCCAATTAAAGTGACATAAATCGAAATGGGATTATTTTTTTAGAGTCGCCACTTGGAATATTTATTATGGTGTCCCAAGTCACCGGTTCATTTTTAAAATCCCAAATCGAGGAAAAGTCGACTTTATTTAAAAGTCTGCGAATCTAAAAATTCTAAGTAAGGAATTCTGTTAACCCGGGAGAAGGTGTTAGATATTACCGGTTTCGTGGTTCAGGCATGGTCGCTTAACTATTAAGATTGGCCTATTTACCTGATTTACTACATGTTTTAAACCTGGTGTGCATTTTAACTTTTGACTGCTTTTAACTATTTATGGAATTATTCTGGAACAAGTTACGATTGTCCTACACTTGTTTGTTTGATACGCATTGCAAATCGTGCCATGGAAATCGTACCTACGATCTACAATATGTTTAATTTATTAACGTTATTAGAAGTTGTGGCCGGGTCACATAAATATATCCCCGGATTTGGAAGTTATGTATCACAGCTACGTCACGGAAACCGTACCCATAGCTATGATAATTTTATTATAAACGCGCCTAAAACAAACTACGAATATTCAAAGTATTTTCTATACTAGTCATGAATGTCCCAAGTATTTTTCACACTAGTTTTGGTATTAATATGAGGGCCATGGAATTCATTTGTGGATGACACGCCTTAATTTATTTCAAAAGATTGCACTCTACTAAAGCAAACTACGGATGTTCACAAATTATTTTCCTAAGTTTGAGGTCATGCAGAAGGCCAGGGATTACAGAAAAATATAATTGGATAGAGTGGCATTAAAGGGATTGACATTTATGTAATTCTAGTTTTCACGTAACTTTAACCAATTAACAGGAAAAAACCGTCCATCATAAAGGTTTGGAGAATAAAAATTGTTTGTTATTTAATGTTGACAGCTACTGGATTTGATCACAATAATGATAAGAACAAGTGGGCCAAATGGAGTTAGCCCGCGCAGATTTCAAGCGAATGGATCAAATTAGAGTAACATTGCCTCGACATTGGAGTTTAGGAACTCCAGTTAACATGATTGTATAGTGGCGGGCCTAAATATGTCCAGGCCCAATACACATATGACAATCAATTATAAGAGATTAAACAGTGGCTTAAGCCCAATACGCATATGACGACAATTATGATAGATTGAACAGTTTTACAAAGTCAGTTTAAAACCCTATCCACTTTAACATACAAAAATTGGTTATATTCATACTTTAATTGCAATAAACTATGACATGAAGATGAAAAACACTAATACAATGACCCACATTATACAAATAATATCAAATTAATTCTAAACCCATTTCTATGAGCTTCCATGGGAACAAGCTGTCTCTGGCTGACTGTCCTTCTTATTTGCAAATCATTTCTTGATTCATAAAGGAATAACATTGGGCTATCCTCTTATAGCAAATTGGATATGAACAGAGCAAACAGTTAGGATTAAATTACCCTCCTAAAATTACTTGAAACAGAAAACACCTATCTCAGAATTTAGACGGCTATCAGCAGTAAACATTAAACTATCCATTAACATCTGACTAGTTGAATATCTAACTTTAACCTACTTATACTTTCAAAGCATAACAAAGAGGGAATCTCAGGCCAATTCAGCTACTATACATACTAGGTTCAAATAATTGAACATAATTAGAGGATGAATAGTATCACAACTTTAACATAGAAGACCATTCAAAACGAACTTAACAATTGCACATGATGAGTCTATGCAGTTAAACATAATTAAGAAATAAACAAATCACATTTTTTATATAGCATTCAAATAGGAGTAACGTGGATGTGTAAACATACCTAACTTGCAAAGGAATAACAAAAAATAATCAAATAATGTTCTGAAAACAGAAGATGAAGTCCAGCAACTCCAGGAACAACAGTATATATCTACCACAACTTCAGTATCAGTTCATAACTTAGCTCAGGAACCCAGAACACGAAGAAAATTCCTTCCAGATTTTTGTAAAAGAAAGAAAAATAGGAAAACCGGAAGCTGGATTTTTTGTTCAGAGGATTTTTAGGTCTGTATGCTGATGAGTGTGTGTATGAGAATGAGTGAATGGCTTTCTTTTTATAGTGTATATCCAAAATAGCATCAAAAGAATATTCTATCATAAATTCCTTAGATAGTACATCATTTTGACAGATAATAATGGACAGTTGTCCATTTTTCAACATCTTTTAAACAATTCTGGACAGCTGATATACTTCTAGAACCTTCCTTTTCCTAGATATTTTCTTCTAAAATTTCTGAAAATCATCCTAAAGTTCAATTAGACCCTTACAAGTTTCTAGTGATATACAAATCAAGCAAACAGGGACAGGGCCAGTAATTAACCGAAATCAAATCAAAACAACAATCAAGCAATAAAATAGTGCAATTGAATCCTACAATAATAAGCATCAAAAACCCTAAACTAAACTAAACCCTAATATGAATCAAATTGATGGAATCAGCAGGAATTTCATGTAATGAAACTACTAAAACATGCTAATTCATATTAGCATAAGCAAGATGAACAAACACATAAAACTAGAACACTGAAAATCCTAAATATGGTAAACTGAATAAGAAAACAATTATGAAGAAGAAGAAAGGAAGAATAATAAAAGAAAGAATATAAAATACCACAAAGACTCGTCTGAGACAGTTACGAAGTCGGATTAGACTGATTAATATTACTGACTAACTTATTGGCTAACAAGAACAACAAACAAACGAAAAATAAAATAATAAAAAACCTAAATGAGACAGTAGTCTAATAAGTTGATAAACAAACAACACTGTGATTTTTTTTCTTTTAGTTTTCTTAAACATCAATCAGAATACTAGACGAACAGGCAAGGACAAGGGTGTACCTATTTGAGAAACAGGGAAAGAGCTGAGGCGGATCTCTTCTTGGGCTTCGATATAGCTCAAAATTGACTCCAAATGATTGTTCTTGTCAAGAACAAACCATTTGGGGTGAGTTTCGAACTACTCGAACGAAAATATCACGAAGGAATGAAATATGCAAGAAACAGTTGCTTTTTTTTGGATTTTCAGATTTGGTATTTGACTGGTTTGAGGGGTATTTGGGGGAAATAAATCATGGATTTGGAAAGGAGGGGTAAATGTGGTTGTAGGGTGAAGATTTGGAGGTGTTTGGAGACCAGCCGCTGTCGTGAAATGATTTCCGGCGAGCAGCGGCTATGGTTTGGGCCATGAAATTGGGAGCATTTGAGGGCGACTAGGGTTAAGCTTTAGGTCAGAGACGGGGAAATGGGGGGGGGGGGTCTCT